CCCACATTCTGCAAACCCCCGCCCCCCGGACGCTGGCGAATGGCTGCTGGGTACCCACAGTTCCCAGCCCAACCACTGAGGGTGAGGGAAGCAGGGAGGGAAGCCAGCCACAAGAGAGAGGTTTTCTGTAAAACAGGCAGAAAACCACCATCTAACCATCACTGACTCACTGGCCACCCAACTTCTCAACGGGTTTAAAAAAAAACAGCGTCCTCACATCATGAGCATCTGCCACCCCAGATGCCCATGAGGATGTAACAGGCCGTGGCTCTGGCATCCGGTGTCCCAGACCTGGCCCTGCCACTAACCAGCTACGAGACTTAGCCTCCCTGTGCCTCCATCTCCTCCCTGTACATTAGGAGCAGCAACGCCTACCTTGCCAGACTGTTCGAGCAGATAATGAATGGAAATGAACAAAAACTTCTCGTGGTCCCGAAAAGCTCCCATGGGGCAGAGTGTGCAAGCTGGAAGCCTGCAGCAACACCTACCCACAGATATATTTTGTTTGGGATAACTTTTTTTTTTTTCAGTTTGAATTTGTTGCCAGCATTAAAAGTTTTTGTGGAACCAGCAGATGGCGGAATGGTTACATCACTGAATTCCCATGTGGTCAACCACAGTTCGAGCACCGGACTCAGCGGCCTGAGGCTTGCACCGGGCACATGTGCGTGCACGCCCAAAATCCAGAGAGGAGGGTGGAGGAGAAGGGACTGTGGCATGGTCATCCTCCCTGGGGGAGAGAGGGCTGATGTCTCACTTTCTGTCTGTCTCTCCAACAAGTACATATGTCCTATAGCAAAAATCTCTCTAAAATGTTTTGTTTTTGTTTTTCCTATTTTATTTTATAATTTATTGTTTATGTATAATTTCTGTACATCTTTATGGTGTGCAACATGGCTTTTCAAAGCATATATGCAGTGTATGATAATCTAGTCAGGGGTATTACCGTATCCACCATTTTCAACTAAGAATCTCCCGTTCTTGTGTCTGTTAAATGCTTTTTTCCTACACCTCTATTTGAGAGATTCCCAATAAAACTTCATTCTTCCTTTTTCCTAAAAGTAAATAAATACAATGTAACATCTGGGGATCCTGGCCCAGTCAGTAAATGCTAAGTGCTGTGTCCCCTTTACAGGATGAAATCATTTGCCCCAGGCCCCACCCATCCCTACTGTCATACCAGTTCACTTCCCTCATTTTAAGGTACTGCCCACTCCTGGTAGGCCTTTGGGTTTCTAGCCCTTGCCACAGTCTCTGGAGACGTAAAAGGAAAGGCCTGGCTCTTGCCCCTAGCCCAGGGGTGCTTCCAATCAGGCTACGGAAGGTGAGCTCCCCAAGCCCCTCCTGCCTCCCCTCTTCCCGTTTCTTCTCAGCTCGGCCATCCAGGCCTGGCCCCAGGGGTGCTGAGAAGTCAGCTTATTCCCCTCCCGGAGAGGTCCAGCAGCACAGGGAGGAACGTCTGCCTCACCCGTCTGTCCCAGCAGACCCCACAGAAGTCTGGAGGGTGAGGCTTCTGTGACAGCCCAGGACGGCGACACTCAGGCTGCAGTGGAGCGGGAAGAGGACAGCGTGGGCTGAGCTGTACAAATCACTCCCACGGTATAGCTCCGCCTAGTTGCACGGTGCCCGACTACCCGGACTGGGGGTGCAGGAGCTACTGGGGCTCCCTGCTCCTCCCCTCAGCAAGGAGAACAGGGGAGGCTCCTTCCCTCAGGAAAGGGCAAGTGAGGGGACACAGACTGGCCCCTGCTCATAAAGCCAGGCTGCAGGGCAGGGTCACAATGTGCTGGTGACACCCCAGCAAGGTGAGTGCCAAGTGGAGGCAGGGACTATGACCATCCTTGAACACAGAAACTGGCCGAAGTCACGTCCCTGAATTAAAAGCAAGCCACACGTGAGTCTGGATGGTCGCTTGGACTAGACAACTCACCAGCTGTGTCTAAGCTTCACAGACACTAAGCGTGACACCAGGGACAGGCTGTCTACGACCGCACAAGCAGCAACCACAGAGGGCAGGGCGTTTGACTACCCCTTTGGCAGCACCCTGAGGGGCACTATGAACCATCATGCCACTCTGCCTCAGTGGGTGAGTGGGCAAATGGATGGACAGATGATGGGCAGATGGACAGGTGGACAGTGCATGGCCCAGGGGATGGATGGGTGGACAGGCAGATGGTTGGGTGAGTGTGTGAGTGGATGGATGGACAGACGGATGGGCAGAAGTTGAGTGGATGAGTGCGGGTGGATGGAGGGGTGGCTAGATGGGGGAGTGGATAAATGAACACGTGAACAGGGACATGTGTGGACAGCTGGGTGGATGGACAGACGCATGAACAGGCACATACGGGGCCAGCTGGGTGGATGGATGGGTGGATGGACA